CTTTTTATCTCCTTTTTTAAAAAAGTCATATAGGAAGCCTTCCCCCATTTTCGGTATTTCTGAAGAATGGCTTATCAGAAATATTTGAAACTTTTTATCCTGGCCATATTCATCAGTATCTAGAATAATCACAGCGAGAGTTTTTTGCTAAAGATCTCGAGAGTTAGGTTAACTAAATGTGCAATTGCAGTTGTATTATGAGACTTTAAAGTAACTCATAGTAGGTTAAAGTAGTTTAATGTATGCTGTTTCTCCCTAAATTGAGCGCCTTCTAGAAACATTATCAGACGGTCTCTGTCCGCCTTGCGCAGATATCATCGTACATAAGACAGCAAAAACCGGTCGAGTCATATGATGTATATCAAACGGTAAAGTATACTAATTTATAGATGCAACAGAGATTGGATCGATATATGATAAATTAGTGAGTTTGTTAATGCTCTAATTAACCTTAGATATTTTAATGAAAAATATTTTGAGAAATGATAAATTAAAATAAATCTTTAGATTTAATTTCAACAGCAATTGAATATTGTCGTTCATCTCATTTGTCACTTCAATTAGCTGCACTTCGTTTTTTTCATGGTTTATCACGAAGTGTTCATCAACTTCGTACAACATTTAATGATACAATTTGTGATATTTTACTTGATGCTATTAAATCCAGTGATTTATCTATTGTGAAAATATCATCATGTGTTATTAGTAATATTGTTCTAGAATTTTCGACTTGTCGAACGGTAAATTATTATAAATAAATAAATAAATAAGATTTCTTTTATTATTTTATATTTAGAGATTACTCAGTGGTGGTATACTTGAAATACTTTTTAATCTTCTTACACATACAGATCATGAATTACGTATAAATAGTATATGGGCTTTACGGAATCTTTCGTATTTATCAGTACTTCAAATAAAACAAGATATAATCAATGGTAAAAAAATTTCAATTATTTTAAATATATATATATATGAGTGAAGAGCGTGCGCCTATTGTACCGTTTGGTCTAGAAAAGAAAAATACTCATAAGTTAAGTTCTACTCAATCGATTTTGATTTGTTGGCCTAAAGATCATCATTCACTTCTAAAAAAATCAAGATTTCAACTATTTTAGTTTCCGAGAAATCATAGTAATAATGTTAAATATCTAGCTTTTCAATGCTATCTGGCGGAAGAAAATCAATTTTTTTATTACATTGCGATTTTTTTTTAGATTGTTTTTTGTAGCTAGATTTGTAGAATTCATCGAGAGCGTTCAGAATGTGTCCTTAGTTTTAGCTCTAAACAAAGTATTATTAATAAAATGTTGGGTAACTTTATTGGAAGCAATTATATACACTCTGACCGTTGGATACATGGGTATAGCATACAGAAATTGGCTGTAATCTGATGAATTCTCACCAAAGCATAGGGAAGTGTTGGGTTTTTTTCTCAAAATGGTACAGTGGGCGCACTCTTTACTCATATATGTTACGATTTGTCTATACGAAATTAGAAATGAATTGATCAAATTGAAAACATTCCGAGTTTAAACAAATGAAGAATTTTATATCAACTATTTCTATTAACTAATTTCAGCTATATATATATATATACACTTCGAAGTATAACTATACAAGTAAGAAAACTGAAAAATATCAAACTTTATGGATTATTTCGCGTTGTTTTTGAAAAATAAGGTTAAAAATCGTTCGTATTTCTCAACCACACAACATTTGCTCGAGTTGAATCTTTCTTCTATTTATAGAGGTATAAGCCGTACGGCTGAGCCGCCGTCGCAATCATCAAATCATAGATAATTTTAAGAGTTTTTCAGCAACTACCGCTGTAAAAAAAAATTGAAACGATTATAGTCGTCGTTGTCTTCTATCTACTTATACTTTATTCGAATGCAAGGAGAAAATAGTAAACCGAAAAAACAGTAGATAACCTAAACAGTGTCGATTATCACTTTAAAAAAAACATTAGATCCACGCCAGACGTAAATGTGACTGGAAAAGCGAGATGATATGAGGATAAATTTTAGTCTATGCAATAAATCTGAGTAGGAAATATTAGAAAATTTCGAGTCTACTACAACTTTTCTTCTACTCATCGAGACTTATCAACCTTGAAAGTTTGTCCAATGAACCACTCTACAAAAGTGCCGAGAAAGTGAGTCATTTCCTTAGAAATCTAGTATAAGAATTACGACTATAATAAATTTTTGTATATGTAATAGAAAATAATTAATTTCATAGAATAGAATTTACTGTGTCATGGTTCTTGATATTATTGTGATCAATCATCAAAAGTAACGCGATTTAATGACATAGGAGAATGATGTAAAAATCTAGTTCAATCGATTAAAATAATATGCATTATAATTTATTCAATATAAACAATACTTGGTGAAATAAAAATTAAAAAAAACTTTAATTATCTTCAATTTGATCAATTTCATTTTAGGTTTAATTTTAATTTCATTCGAACGAAATTGAAATTCTAATTTTTGCTCAAATACAATCTGGAATTTCAATCTAGATTATAACATTTTTTTTTCGTTCTTAAGGATTAACAGTTGATCGTATTTATTCATTACTTGATCAATGTACAGATGAACAATTTCTTCTATGTTTATTATCATTATTACGTAATCTTTTTGATGAAAAAGATACAGATGCACTTTTACCAATATTTAATGCAACAAAATTATTAACTGTAAGAAAATAATTTGAAAGAAATTATTCAATTAATTGATTATTTTTTTGTTTTTATAGACATTACAACAATTACTGGAAAAAAATCATCCCGAAGGAATTCGTCGTGAAATAAGTACATTAATTGATCATGTTAATTCAAGCAATAATCCAGTAAGAGATAATTTGAAAAAGAAAAAAAAGAAATTTTTTTTTGTTTTTGTATTTCTAGTCTCAACAACGATTGTCTTCAGATTCAATTAATTCAACTTGTCGAACATCACTTTTTCCTGAATGTAAATAATAATTTTATTTTATTAGTAAATTTCTTTTTTTTTTTTTTTCTTTTTCTTGCGTTTAGATGTTTGTGATGAAATGGATCAACTAGATTGTTCATAAGAATCGATGGACTAAAGCAATAGGAGATGTTTAATCAACTCACCTATTTGTTTGAACTGAATAGTGTTTATTTTTTTTTTTCCTATTTTTTTTTTCGTTTGAAAAAGAATCAAATGATGATGTGCAACAAACAAACAAAAAACAAAAGATTGTAGTTTTCTTATTTTTTGAACATATCTATATATACATATGCAAGAGTTTATAAATTTAATGTAAACAATAATCCGAAGAGTACGCCAATAAACAAGTCATAGGGACTACCATAATAAATATTCAAACATAAAAACTTAATTATATATTTCCAAGTATAGAGCATTTTTCTATTACATATACGGGTATCTCTCCAATATTCTTAATTAAACTTGTCATGAGAGATAATGCTGTTTTCTTATCCGCGCTCCGTATAAACAATAGGTTAAAACTTCATTCTCGAACAATCAGCGTGTCACATTAGAGTTGATAAATACTGTTTAATACACTTGTGGATTAAAATAAAATTTTTCATATTGATATGTGGGTATCAACGGTTTGTTTTTAGTATTAATACATAATCTCACACCGCTACAGACGATTAGTCATTGCAGTACAGAAAAAAATCAACAAAAGAATGATGTTGCATAGAAATGATCTATCGTCATAAACATAATTAGTATTACTGTTATACAAAGAAGAAACATCATGTTATATGGAAACTAAATTAATAATATCAAAGAATTAATAAAGGATCGTTTTATCTTTGTCGACTGCATTACATTTCATTGTCTATCGCAACATTTACATAGGTGATGTGCAGCATTGATCATTGAGTTCCTATTGCTCTTTCATCCTCTAGAATGTGCTCGCAGTAATCTTACATTTGCCTTCTTTTTATTTCTTCTTTGTTAAGGATAGAAGTCAATAACTCACATGTGTAAGCTTTCATGTATTGTTTCACTATGAGTTTGAGAAAATGAAAAGAAAGAGGAGAAAATATTCACAATTCATAGAATTAGATCGAATTTCTCTGATTGTTGCCCAAGAAGTCAAATCACTCAAAGTGTACAAAAACTAGCCAATTAGCAGTTGAATTTACACTGCAACCATAAAAAGAATCCTAGAATATGACAGTTGTTTCCTAAGAATTCTAATACATATACTCACACAAGATTTCTAGTGACTCTTCGATTTTAGCAATTTCTCACTGGTTTTTAAAAACTATGAAGTGTCTCCAAAAGAAAAGCAGAAAGCTTTTAGATATATATTTACACTCACTTTATTTTGTAGTGAGTTTCATAAAATGAATTGGATTGATTTATGTCTCTCTTAAACAAGTATTTCGCTCTCAAAAATAGACTTGTACCAATTGCTTTCGAAGGTCTACTTGACTCGAACATTACTATTAAATGAGAAGAAAGTGCTTTGATAAATGTAAAATATTTGTTCTGTATATCGACAGTACACATGTTGTTTTCTCAGTCTCAACACATTTTACTTGTGTATTGAAAAAAATTGTAGAATTTCTCATTGATGAATTGGTATTAGTAATTATAAAAAGCTGACAACTTCTCATAGTGCGATTTTGTATATAGGTGTCAAAGGTAATGTGAAAAATGACATCTAACTTCTGCCAATAGAATCATATTGAATCTCCATGACTGGAGATTATCGTATTTTGTTAAATTGTATAGAACACAATATATTCGTTCTAATATATTTTAATGAGATAAAATACGTTAGTTAAGCAGTACTGCATGCTAAGGATTAATACTTGTTCCTTCTAGTCATATTCTCATTCTAATTTTTGCACACACTCATATATAACGCAATGACGATCTGAATACGAATGTGACAAAATGAAACAAGTATAAAAAAAAAAACTTCGATTAAATATTAATATTAGTGAGTTTCTAATGTTTTAAAATTCCCATTCGATGTTGTCCTCAATTCCATTCTTCGTGAACTATTTTCCAATCACCATCGATCTTTTTCCATGTCACTTTGCCTTCTCGATCTTGGCCATCCCATTTACCTGCACATTTTTGAATGACACAATCATCAGACGGCGATGACGTATTAAGTGGAGTCACTTCGATCTTGTAGTCTTGCCACTTTTCACATGCATTCAGTATTTCATCATGACCATTGTAGGAGGTGCCAGCGTCCGAGATACAAGCATTAGGAGCATAAAATTTAGTCGTAAGTTCCTTCATGCGCTTCGATTCCCATAATAACATAATTTCCTTATTTTTTTTCTCAATAATTTCAGCTGGTGTCGTCATAGCTTGTTAGTACAATCTAAAAAATCTAAAATCAAATACTTTATTTATAACATATTGATAAGGACACCATTATATTGTAGAAATAGATAATTCGACATAAAAACAGGTAGTTACGAAAGGATGGTCTATCTAGAGTAGTCTTCAGTTGCTTATATGTTTTCTAAGAAATATGGCACCTATGTTACTTGAAGTCAATAAGCTTAAAGAATAGTACATACTTTTGGTACGATGAAATTTCCTTTCAAAACACATGGCTTGTTCAAACGTCGTTAGAAAACTCCTACAAAAATCTCTATGAATATTTCACCTTAAAGTCTCCATTAGATTATGATAATACAATGTCTGACTATACCAATGGTATCTTTGTAGTGTTGGCGATCAATATTATGATGTTTCAACAACTACAATACAACTATAGCAGCTTCAATTTCAATAGGGAATTTTTAGTGACGACGAGCAAAAACTTTGAAAGATAGCGAACACTTTGTGAAAAGGGACTGGGAGCCAGAGTTATGCGAAAATGTTAGTTAGAATCAGGTTTCTTTCGCTATCACTGAAGATAAAAGACATTAATTAACATTTCTGAAACAACTGTAGTTGAAAATTTTGAATTCTTCTCTAGTAATGGCATGAAGAAAAGTTCGTGAAAAAACCCAAATACCTTCTATGCAATAAAACCTTCGGAATTAGATATTTGATTTCAGGTGAATAATTATCAGTATATTTCATTTGAAGTGGATTATAAAATATAAATCGGATTGTTTCCTATACAACTACTCACTTACAAGTTAGACAACGTCTTTCATCTTATGATGCGCGCGTTAATTTTTACATTTGTACCCGCAAAATTCTGTTCATGCAAAATCTTTATTACACGTACAGTTTTAAAACAAAAAAAAAATAAACCTGATCGTCTATTTGGATGCTGGTGACAAGTTGTTATTTTCCTTGTAGACAGGACGTTAGACACGATATGATTGAAAGTAGAGTTTTATTGTAATAAAAAAATGAAATAAAACGGGAAAGTTGTCAAACGTCGACAACTGGAACAAATAACATCCTTATTTTGACATTCTGTATTTGCTCTTTGGTCGAGATAAGTTTAATTGATAAATGAATTTATCACAAACACAAAACTGCTTTGCGTTTATTGCTGACTGAATACTCAGAACGGGAATGGCAGACATGATAAAAAGACATAAGATGGTAATCATCTTCACATGTATAAGACAAAATTATATATTGACTATAATAGTGTGATGACGCGTACGCCAATGAAGACTACAAGGAATAATAGACTATATATCAGAAGAGTCAGACAAGGATAAGAAAAAATAATATAGGAAGATAAAAATCCTCGAACATACAAAATGGTATCACTATTTCATACATTGTTCGCACATTTGATATTTGTTATGTACAGCGATAATTCTTTTGTCAACATCTAATCTTTGACATTCTTTGAAGTCGATATTCACATCTGTTGGCATTTTGCTCGTCGACATTTAACTATTCTATTTCATTTTTCTTGCTGTAAACTCTAATACTCATTTATAATCATGTTTAAAGAAAAAATTCTATGACCTACATTGTAAAATATAAAATAAGTTATAGAGAACAAAAAAGAATATTTTTCGGAATACACATAACTATACCGATTTTTAATTATAGCCTTAATACCGGTTATAAGCCAAAAACTTATATACCATTAAGAAAAAAATTAAGCATGATTCGGATATATTGTAGTTTAAAAATATGAAAAAGAAAACATAATTATCTTACAAAGATTTTCATATACATACATATATTGAAAGGAGATTATGATTTTATACAAAAGTAACATCAAAGCTACAAGGAATATATTTTTATGAATTTAATTAACACGCTTTCAGTCCCTTAGGAGCAAAAAAAGCTGCATATATTTTGTAATTTATTTTTCATAATATAAGTAATCAAAATTGTTATTAGAAGAGAAAAAGATGGTTCAAAACAACTTGTTATATCCCCAGATGGTAGCTAAATAGAACAAGTTCATGTATGGTGTAGATTTATTTAATTAACGAATCTCTTGTTATTCAATTGATAGAAAATCTACGTGAAACTAGATTCGTATCTTTCGAATGCATTCAACTGTTACAATGATCTGGGTCAACAAAATATGACTTACGTTGAATTCCTTTCTTCTATCTCCATATCACTGATTGATGATCAAAATTCATGGAAAAGAAGAGACAAACCTATTCACTTTTCTGTCAGAAAGGGAAAACAAATTCAACAGACGTCGGGAAACAAATCTCAATCAGCTCAATTATTAGTACATATGCTTGTTGCTAGATCTAAAGGAAGATGTAGATATTGTAGTATGAGAGCTTCTTTAGTGTTTAGTAGCATAGAATGCATTTGTTATGGCATTTTTCTTTGTGTAAAAAAAACATAAAAATTGTTTTTTGTTATTTCATGAAAATAATATCTAAAATAAACTAATCTCACAATCTACTTGAATTGAACGCAACAGAAATTATTTGGGACTGCAAGGATAAAATATGTGAAAGTTTAACGGAATTGTAATTATGTAAATGAACACTTTTGTTATAAGAAAAATGTCTCAAAGTGAACAATCAATTTTGAATATAAGGAGGATATAGGAAGAAGAACAGCATATAGTTCAAAAACAAAAACAAGAGAAATATCGAACTCCGATACTCGCTGCAGTAGTTGGAGAAAAATAAACTATTGACACCGTCGAATAACTAACTTATATATGCAATTAAAACAAGACTATATAGTTGTTATTGTTTAAATAGTTTTTGAGAGAGTAATGTTGATTTTTAAACATTGTCAAAAATTGTTGTTGCTTTTTTTTTAAATTCTTTCGAAAATAAATTTTTCAGAAAATTCAATTGAAATTCTAATTTACGAAAAATCAAGCATTGTCTGAAAATTATAAAATCGTTCAACAATTAATAATTATTTAAAAAATGTTAGACCTTTTCTCCTAACTCCATTTTTCGAGAAAGTAAAATTTATTTAAAATTTCTAGACCAGTCATAACTTCATGTTATATTCTAAAGAGAATTGATTTTTAGTATGATATTATTCCGATCTTGACTGTAAGCAAAAGAAATTGATAAAAGAATTTAAGACTCTTATAAAGAACTTACTCGAACGATGCTGTATACTGTAGTTCAAACCTTTTCACACAACTCAACCTTATACATTATACATTATTATATATAATTCTGTTATTTGGTATATTTTTCAATATAACTTTCTCGATAGCTCCTGGAGTAAACATATGCTATCGCTATGATTGCATCACATCTCGTTTATAATTGCGATGCAATTAGATATACAGCAATTTTATAGTGTGGCTGCAAGTAAAATGCGTAGCATTTGTACCTAATTAACATCACTAAGAATAGAACACTAATTGCGACCAAATTGATCATTAACTACATATACTGTTCTGTTACTGACATGTATAGAAAAGAAATATTGTCAATATGCATAACTACAGCATAGGCATTCGTAATGACATCATTACAGTATGATTATAACAAGGAATAGTTGCTTATATATTTAATTTTAATAATAGTTAACGAATGTTCTTTGCAGAGTATCTTATGTGTCTTTTCATTAATTGAGATTTATGTTTTAGAGCAAATGGTTGCTGCTGTAAGTGGTCTTTTCATTCACACTCTAAAACTGTACCCTATTATAACTACGTTAGCATATTTCTATGAGTTAGACCTGAAGTGCTATTATACACTTGCAGAAAAGACAATAAAAGCTATGTATGATAAATTTTTGAAGATGACTCGACATAATAGAATGAATGATGCATTGTTTTTAGATATATCGATGAAAGGTTCGACGATCAGTTGATTGAAATAGATGAATTCATTTCATAGACTTCGCAGTAAACTAAATTGACTCCATTGAATTTCTTTTGATGAGAACATATTAAAACACAAGATTTGAATGATTTATGAGTTAGAATAATGTGAAGAATTGAATTCATTGAAAAGAAATACTACATAATGTTTTGTGAAAAATGAAAAACAATTTGCTCTACATTTCAAAGTGATAGGTTTGAACAGTGCTTTTATAGTTTGCTCGTAGAAATAAAAGTTCAGCGGCCTTATCTGAATTATAAAAAATTACTTTTGGAAAGGGAATTTTGAGACTACTTTAGTTAAATAACTACCTGTGTACTAGACTCTCTATCTTACTCTATATTTATCTAACTAGTCAGATGAATGAGGTATGACCTGTTATGACCGAAAAACTTTGGGAAATAGTAAGAACTTGGAAGTAGTAGTCTGGTGATTGGATTTCGTGACTAGATATATCGAGTGTCAATAATTGGATACGAACACCGCACTCCTGGTTTTAAATTCCTACTATTTTATCGAAATGTTTCGACCAGTATCGGTGTCTTTCCTGCGGATTTCCGCTGAAGATCTACGGATCTGTACGCCAGAATGATTGACTTAGGTTATTTAAATAGCTATATCCTTACATACCTATCTATCTACCAATTTGGTTATATATCTAAATAACTATCGAACCATCTACTTACCTACTTATATATGTATTTATCCTCTTGTCCGAGTAAAAAAAACCATGTATGCAGAAGACGTTTCACAAGATTAAATAGAGGAAAATGCAGCGCAGAAGAAATACAATAATAAATTATATAGTTTGAGAGTCAAACAGATGAAATAAAAAAACCAAATCATACAAATGAGAAATGAAGCGAACAACTTATGGCAATATATGAAAGTTGAAAACGAGTTACTTTAATCATATATTAAGACAAGAGAAAATAGATATCAAATTTCAAGTTTATTATAGACTTTTCATTCTAGTTGAGAAAGAGCCAAACCTCGATGTGAGAAAAGGAGAGATACTCAAATAAGAAAGAAAAAGACAAATAGATTTTACTTTAGGCCTCGAAAAATATTGTCTTCTTAAGCTTTTATGTTTCTCCTTGATTT